TTTAATTTAATAGCATTAGAGCTGCTCCATTGCAGCAGCTTAGTACTGTAATCACGTGCTTTGCTGTAATAATGCAGGGAACCACTCCTGCATATAAATCTCCTAAATGTGATATTTTCAGAAATAGAAGTCGCGTTTTTTCATTTGAAACATGCTGCGATTTATATTCCAAAACCACTCATATAATGCAGAAACACTCAAGCAAGCAAAACACGCGCAACGCATGCACTTATTTGTACTGATGCAGAATAGTATAGCCTAGTGCATTTCACACAGGCTGCTAGATTCACTTTCGCCTGAAAGTCGTGTATACCTAAGGTTGAAAATAAATTATGTTTATAGTGAATGCCCCTATAAATGGTCTTATTTTTACGATTTAGTTTTAATTCAAATGATGCGTGTGCTAAGTTAGTGAACATCAAAAATCACACAACAGAAATCCGCGCTCTCTCTCGCTCTCTCTCTCACTCCCTACCGTTAAGTAACTTGTGCATTGTTTTACCTACTTGTTTTTGACATATCTGACCGAACTACAAACGTAGTTTCCAGTGATGTCTGTGAGAAAGATATATTCACTCGACAAGCTCGCGCATCTGCGCCGCCGCGCGCTCAATCCACTCAGCGTGCTTTGTTTATCAGCTCGCGCACATCAGCTATAAAGGCGTTAATACTGAATATTTAACATTATATTCATTGCATACATATACTTCGTAGTAGACATCCTTAACTCCTTTCTGCTGTCTGTTGTTCTGTTGTCTGCGTTTCTTTGTTTGAATATGATGCTTATCACATGCTGTGTGGTATCGGCGTTTGGTATCGGGGTATTTTAACGAGTATGAGTACAGGAGACTAGTATCGGGCCCGATACCGATACCAGTATCGGTGCATCCCTAGAATTTAGAATAGGCATTGTTAGCTTACCAACACAATGATTTCAAATTTTACTGAAATGATTGTAAATAGAGTTACAGCCTATATAGAGGTTTAATTTCAGTCAGGACAATGCCTTAGAAGGTGACATAAGCTCCCTATGCTGTATACAGCAAAGTTTTAGAAAAGAGCCCAAGTGATGTGATATACCACTTATTGACTATTTCAGTGACAGGCACAAGAAAATGTATCACAGATATCTAAAAGCATGGGCGGCCTATAATACAGCTCAAAAGCATGGCTGAAATCCCATCTTATTTCTGAAAGGCCTGGGACAAATGCAAGCTGCTGAGGTGTAAAATGGCTAGTGGCAAAGAACCAGCAGACTTAAAAGCTCTTCAAATAGAGGAACAGGAATAAACATATTTCTCTCTACATCCTTTTGTCAAACACTTCTTAAGAGTTAACGACCGTTGTTTAAGACAGAAAGGGTCTAAAAATAGCACTTTCTATTCACGTGTGCTTTGGTGACCCATTGACTTAAGTTTTTGTCTGTATGACTGGGTTTTCCTGAAGCATTCTCTTGTTAAGGGTACAAGGCTGGTCTAAAATTAGAACTTCAAAACATGAACTTCAGCTATAAATAGGTCAAAGGAATTATTTCAGTGATGTGAATGTATTTTATTCGACATGCATTCTCAATGTTTTATAAAAGCATCTGAGAAGGCATGAAATATGGTATTTGTCCTACACAATGGCTAATGCAAGAAGAATATCTAATGCTTTTTGTGTTGGGTTACAATGACTCAAGGGCAATTTGCTGTGACATGACTGTAGTAGTAATCTTTAAATGTTTTCTGTTCCGCTGTCCATTACAAAGGCTGAGATTGAGGTCAGAAGATGAATATCTTCATTCCATTTTGGATGAAGACGTGTGATGGGTGAAGCATGGAGTTTCTAAGCCAATTCAAACACACTATCGTTTAAATAGGGTTAGTAAGCTTTTTTATTATTATTAATACTTTTATTCAGCAAGGAAAATGCTTTTCTCTTTAAATTTCTATTTAAAAAATCCCATTACAGTTCCCAACAAAAATAAGCAGCAGCACAACTTTTTGTGCAACATTGATAAGACATGTTTCTTGAACACCAAATCAGCTTATTAGAATGATTTCTGAAGGATCATGTGACATTGAAGACTGGAGCAACTCGGCTTGCCATCACAGGAAAACAAATCATAATCTTATATATTATTAATAAAAACGACATTAAAAATAAAATTGCAATAATATTTCAGAATATTTTTATAATATAAGGCACTGTTGGGTGTCCCATAGCTGTAACGCATTTCTATCTCTACCAACGTAGCCCTCAATACACACACACACACACACACACACACGTCATACACAAAGTGAGTTGGACAGCATTTCTTTAGGGACGGTACATCAGACCAAGTTCGCCAACTGAGTTATTGTCAAGTATGACATATACAGCTAAACTGTATAAAGAGGACAAAAAAGAAAACATCTGTACTTTTTAAAGCAATGCTTAAGACATGACAGCTTAACAGATTGCAGAATTTGCTGCAGAATTTGATACATTTGACAACAGTTGTGATTTTATTAACAACATAGTCTTCTTTTCCGCCCACTCACAGAAAGTAAAACATCCTTCATGGTAAATTATGACTTGAATCATGGAAAAGAACATTTTCTTAAGGCTTCTGTCCAGTACAATTTTGAACAACAAAAGATATGGAGAGAACTCAATTTGACCCTCTGATGTTAAAATGAAACGAGACAGCATCAAGACAAAAACAGACTACTGCATCCATCAATGAACATGATGCATCATCCAGTCAATCAGGCTTTATCAAGAGTGAATCTAACACACAAAACAATTCTACGCATCGAGTGTGAGATGAAATTCCTGGCACAGGATCAAAGCTAAGCATTCTAAAGCATATCTTTAAGAGAAATTTCAAAGTGATCCAAAGTGATCCACTTTCAAAGGGATTCACAGTGATTTTTAAGGATGTGAGAGAAATATGACCAGAGGGAAGAGGACACAGAGCCTTGGCTCAGTCTTCTATTTCCAAATTGCATGGAAATACTAATTTTAGATAAAAATCACACTGTATCTTCAGCTTCATCTGCAAAACACACTGCACAAATCTTATTTTAACAAATACGCATTTAGAGAGTTTAACGGTTTAATCACCAAGGAAACTAGGATGCAGTTACAGTCATCATGAAAAAAATTTCAAGGTTATGATGAGGCACTTACAATAGAATTGAATGGGGACCAATTTTGGAGAGAGAAAAAATCTATTTAATTCAAAAGGAAAAACGTTTTTATACTTACTCACAGATACTTGGTATTGTTCTAAACAAACTCACTTAATTTTGTTCAAATTCTCAGAAAACAGGACTTCATATGTTCATTTTGCATCAAGTTAAAAACATTGGAAAACAGAAATAATGAGGAAGATATTATTTTGCCATGCCATGATTTTATGAATTTAAGACTTTCTGCTCCGATTGAGAAACATTTATTTCCTTCAAATCAAGACTTTAAGTTCCATTATGGTTCATAAAGACTTTACACAAAGGATTAGATTTTTTTTTCATACTAAAATCATGTTAACATGCACATTGTTTTTACATCTTGTGGCTATACTTTTGAAACAGTAAGTATTCTAACATTTATGGACCGTTCCCATTCTCTTACATTGTAAATGAACACCCAAGATTTTTTTTTTTTAAAGAAAATGAGGAGCAAGTGAAAATATAATGCTGATTACCACAAAAATGTGTCATAAATACTGTAAATATCAAATTGTTTCCCAGACCTTGAAGAAAAAGGAACAAGCTGGAAATCATATGTTGATTGAATGTATCCTGCAGACCCAATTTTTCCTGATGTGACAGACTGCTTACCTTAACATAGGAAGGCTGTTTCTCCAAAATGAGGTTCGCCACTCTTTTAGATACCTGTAAGATGAGAACACAAGCTAAAGGTTAACATCTGTTCAACATGTCCTAGCTTTGTGCATTTAACAACTCTTTTTAATCATTAGCTGAGGCTTTAAAAGTAGTAAAAAGAAGAACAACTTGAGACTTTAAAATTGAATTGGAGTCTATTATAGGCTTTTCATGTCTTCCACATCTGCAACAATTACTCTGTAACAATATAATAAATGTTTTCTTGGGGCCCTCAAACATTCCGCTGGTAATAATGGCTCCACGGAAGGTCAAGCCATAAATATAAGGCATACTGAGGCACGCTCCAATCGATATGTGCGTCACCTTGTGGGGCTGTCAGGAACGAGAGGGCGGGATGGCTGTGAAGTGTTGGTGTGTCTGTGAGAGCTGAACAGATGGCAGACTCAGCTGAGCAGCGGCGTATGTTAGCAGATCTCACTGTGCGAAAAGCTGAGACCGATTGGCAGGAGAGCGCTGGGTTGTTTGTGAGTGTGTATGTGTGATAAAGACAACTGAAAGAGACATTTTCAAGAGCACCTCAACTTGCTCTTACATATGCATCAGCTCTTGGCTCTTAAAGGAATAGTTTCCTCAAAAATGACAATTCTATCATCATTTACTCAACCTCGTGTTCTAAACCTGCTTGATATTCAAAAAGAAAATATTCTGAAGAATGAGCCATACAATGAAAGTTAATGAGGTCCAAAACAACATTAGACTAGGGTTGTGAAGATGAGGAAATTTTCCCACCGGTTAATCACGTGTGGGGGGGGGATTAGTTCGTTGAATTGCCACAATTCGGCGTCAAGCAATTGTTTCTTTTGAGTTTTCCCTCTTTTCCTCGGATTTCTTGGCTTTCAAATAGCTTGAAAAAGCGCAGTGCGCGTTTTACTTTCACTTTCAAATTAGCAGCAATTCGGCGTTGATTCAATTCAAGCAACAACAACGTCAAACTCATAGAACTTTTATTAACAAAACGAATAAAAATACACCATATATGCCTAATAAAATAACAAATTACTTGGGCTACACAAAGTTAAAATAGGTATATACAACTGAAAATCAGCAAACACTGTGGAACCAAATAAATAAGAAACAGAACGTTTATTAGTAAAACGTATAAGAAAGCTTGGAGGCACGGCATATACACCTTGATGTAAAATAAAATAAATAAAATACACAAAGTATAAATAAAGTAATCAGCAAACACTGTGGAACCAAATAAATAAGAAAAGAATGTTTAAAAAAAACCTTCCAAAATCACCTTAGATAAACGGCATAAGTCAACAGGCTTTTCAAAATCCAAAATATTGCCAAACAGGTGCTTTTGCATTTCGTTTCGAAACTAAATCATCCGCGATCGTTTTGTCTGTCTCACCCCACTCTTCTTGTCAGTCAGCTCGACTCAATCTCCTTCAATCTTCCTCACTGGAGAAATTAAATCTGATCTGTGATGCGACTGTCGTTCGGCACACTGCATTGAGCAGCCACATTCAGTTTTTAATTGTAGTGTCTGTTCTTTACCTGAACTAAATTATTTTTATTTCTATAAAAAAATCAAAAAGACGGTGGGGGTCGGTGCCGCGGTGGGCAAGTGACGTAACCGGTGTTGCGGCTTAACACCGGTATCACCGTCAGCACCGTCTTATCGCGGCAAGCCTACTAGTGTCGACTTCTCCAGATATGTCAACAAGGCATTTGGCATTTTTTAGATTTTTGGATTTTTCAGTTTGGCCGATGTGTGGCTGATGCAGGACTTATTTTTACAGTGCTAAGAATGCAGCAGAGTTCCAGAGAACCTGAGCAGAGTTCCCATTCTCTGTTTCAGTAGTTTTTCATTAGTTAAAAATTATTAGGCAGAACTGTTAAGCCTGGTCCCTGGTCCCAGCATTGAGCAAATATACATTTATATAATTTAAACTAGTCTTTGAATATCTAATAAACATTTCATTTCACAAACCTTGCAAACTTTGTCGAATCCTGCTGTGAGATCTTTTGAAGTGTGTTTTTGTTGACTACATAAAACGGGTGTGCGTGATGGTCCATCTGTCCATGTGAATTGGATGTGGACAGGAGAGTTAAGCTGTCACTGCTATGCACGGTCAACACATTTTAAACCCTTGATTTGAAACTATAGAGTGCTATATCAAGTTGGCCACTTTGTCATATTATGTCATATTTGCAGTATGCTGTATAGGAAATTAGCGCTACCTTGTCTTTATTAGAAAAAAAAGAAAAAAGATTCCCAGTGTGCAAAGACTTACCTGATCCCTTACTGCAGTGGTCCCCCCCCCCCCCCCCCCCAAACACTTT